TGTGGGTTCAATTCCAGACCTGAAGGGCAGCTAGGGGCCATAGTCTCAGTGGTTCCACCAGGCTCTATCAGACCAGCAAAGCTGACCCCCCCCCCTTTATTTTTCCAAATGATTTTGAGTTTTGTTCCACATTGTTCTCCCTCTCTATGCAGGATCTCTTAAATAGATCCCCCAGAAGCTGAGTTCTTAAAGCTCCAAGGTACAGAAGGGCAGCTGAGGAAAGAAATAACAACTGACATAAGCCCAGGTAGTTCGACTTCTGTCAACTCCAATTAGGCAAGTTTGAATCTATTACATACCTTTGGGATGCCCTTCTGGGCTCAAGGGGAAAGACATGAAGGATTAAATGATATATGAATGGGCAAGGTAGTGCAGGTAAGGACCTAGTGCCAGAAGCTCTTGGTTCCTAGACAGGAACAATCTTGGTGCCTGGGTTTGCTTTATGCACAGCCTGAGTGACTCATATGTTTCCAACAGCGACTCCTTGTCTACCTTTATGGGAAAGGTACTCAGAGTTCATGGGATAAAACTGTTCTAGGCCTTTTCACTTTGCCCAATCCCCAACATTTCTACCCACCCCCTATTTCCATGCAAACATTAGCATGTGCTGGCATTCAGGAGACCAAATTCATCCTCTACAGAAACTCCAGTGAATCCTCAGAGCCTCTGTGTCTGCCTCATATGAGTTTACTGGCATGTCCAGGTCCATAACAGGGAAGTCTAAAGTCAGGGAGGTGTTGTGATGAAAAGGTTTAGATGGGGCAAGGGCAGATGGCCTGTTCTTGATAGCTTGGTACAAACAAGAGGTTACAGCAGGCCAGGACATACTGGCTTGTTCAATTTCTAGCTCTGTACTGGGCTAGGAAATCTGCACACCAACCTCATCACCACCATTTGAAACTGCTCTCAGAACCATATATGCCTGCTCTACTAAAGTACTTGTAAGGAGTCTAGGGGAGTAGAGATACAGAGGAACTCACCAGAAGGTCCCTGGAGGCCAGGGGGTCCTTGAGGACCAGGAGGACCTGGAGGACCAGGTGGTCCCATAACAGTTGTTCCTGGTATTCCAGGAATCCCTGGAATTCCTGGGGGTCCTTGGGGTCCTGGAGGTCCTGGAGGTCCTGGGGGGCCATTGGGCCCAGGAGGTCCTGCCTTCTTTCCTGAAAAGCAAGATTCAGGGTGATATTTGTAGTTATTTAGTGTTATGAATATACTGCCAGGAATTCTATAGACTCACAATGACACAAAGTCTGTTCTCTAAGAGTTCTTGCTACTAAAGAGCTGGACACATTTATCATACTGAGACACATACCTACACACTTACACTCTTCCTACCCTCTTTCACTCAATGAGCATTTACTGAGCTAGGTTTTAGGATATAGAAATAAATAGCCCTCGGGGACTCACAGACACAGCTGCAGTATAGTAGAAGTACTACATTAGTGGTAAGGACAAAATGCTGAAGAGGTCAGGGAAGGCTTCAAAAAAGAGGTTACATTTCAGCTGAATCCAAAAGATGAGAACTACCAAGCAAGCAGCCAGACATATGGATCACTTTATCATTTTTTAGAATTGAGCTGTTGTTGAAGAAGGTGCCTTTTATGTTTACTGCCCAGTTTGGTAGACTTGATGTAGATAATAAGAGGAAGCTAGGAGGGTAGCCTGACCTTAGGAACAACATTCCTACAGGTTCTGCTGTGCTCTCCCCATCAACTCCAGGAAGATTTTCTACAGGAGTCAGGATGTATAGGAAGTAGGGGTTGGGATAGAAGCTGTGCTAGTTGGGGGTGAGGAATGGGAAGGAATTTGGGAAAGAAGAGGCATTCAGGGACTGAAAGAGAGACAGACCAGGAAGAAACAGAGGCAGAAAGTAGAGAGAGCTGAGGAGCTGAGGAGGAGGCAGTAAGTTTTGCTTTTTCCACTCATCTTAGTTCTCTAGTCCTGCTATAACAGAAATACCACAAATGGATGGCTTTTACAAACAGGAATTTATTCTTTTACAGTTTAGGAGGCTAGAAGTCCTAATTCAGAGTGCCAGCTCTAGCGGCTCGGTAAAGGCCCCTTGGCCTTGGGCTTCAACTCTGCCTCTTATTCCAGGCCCACTGGAGCTGGAGGCTTCTTATAACTCATGCAGCTGCTGGCTGCTGAGGCTGATGAACACAAGATCAGTAGGTAAAATGGCACAATCCCAAGATCAGCAGGCAACATGGCCCCAAATGTGCCAAAAAGCTAGAGACCTTCCTCAAATTTTCCCCATATGTATTGGAAGCATGCCACACCCTGAAGGCAACCACTTAGCTTCTCACAGCAGATTCCACCATAGAGGTGATTACAATCTCATCATGGGGAATAACCACATCCAGCTGTAAAGCCACTCAAAGAAATGTCCCAGCCAAGTTGACACACAACCTTAACTACCACACTTCTCTAAATCCTGTTTTTAAAGATCTCTGTGAAACGAAATTCTGCGAACCCCTTTGGTAACACGTTCCAATGTTTATCACCCCTTACTGTTAGGAAGTACTTCCATATATTTAACTGAAATCTCTCCTGTGTCCATTTAAATTTTTATTCTATTCTTTGTACATTTGCCATCATACACAGAATAGCCCTCATATACTCAAAGACATTAAGTCATGTATCAACCTCCTTTTCATAGGCTAACTAATCCAGCTTCCCAGAGGCCCTATTCTTGAATGAATTATTAATCAAGCCACCAACTCTTCCCTGCTTCCTCCTCACTGCCCTTCCAGAAGAGTATCAGCCCTCCTATTCCTAAATTGCAGCCCCTCCAACAATCCTCCTAGGAGTTAGTTATGTTCAATTGAGTCATAACCGTGGTCTTAATCCAAAACTTCCAGCTCCTCCTGTTTATTTCCTCTGCTCTGTGCAGTCCCATTCAAGCAGTACAGATGGTCACAAGTGGGTATCATCTTCCCCACCTGACCATGTCCTTACAATTTTGTGGAAGTACCAGGAATGGAACATTTTACCAGATTCTATCACAATGTCTTCATCTGTGATACTATCTTTCTTTCTTTGATTTTTTTAAAAATAACTTTTTATTGAGATTTGAGTGAAAGTTTACAGAGCAAACTGGTTTTCCGTTCAATAATTCATACACATTTTGTTCTGTGTCATTGATTGCCATCCCCAGATGTGATAGCACTCCCACTTTCTCTCTGTATTTACTGTTTCCCTTAAATGATGGATTGTTCTAAGGAGTGCTTACCTCCCTGATGTTATTGTTCATCTTATAGCCATGTCTACTGTTTCACTAAAAGTTGAGCCACTGGGGTGAGTTCAGTTCCAGGCTTGAAGGGTGACTAAGGGCCTTAGTCTCAGGGGTTCCACCAGTCTCTATCAGACCAGTAAGCTTGCTTGTTTTTTTTTTTAGTTTGTCCCACATTTTCTCCCACTACATCCAGGACCTCCTATTGTGACTCCTTTCAGAGCAGTCAGCAGTGGTAGCTGGGCACCATCTAGTTTTTCTGGTCTCAGAGTCATGGAGGCTAGGCTACATGCGGTCCATCAGTCCTCTGGACTAATGGTTTCCTTATGTATTTGATTTTATTCACTCTTCTTTACTCCAAAAGGGAGAGGCCAATACTTGTACCTTAGATGGCCGCTCATAAGCTTTTAAGATCCCAGTTGCTACTCACCAAAACAGGAAGTAGATCTTTGTGGATTATGTTGTGCCAATTGATCCTGATGTCCCACAAGCCTGTGGTTCTGAGCCCCCAAGCCCAGTGATTCATTCCATCAAGATGTTTGGTTATGGCTAAGACATTTTCATAGTCTTGTCCCTGTATGCTCTACTGTATTTATGGATATATTTGCAGTTACTACATATGTCAGTAGGAGCTCTGGTAGCATAGTGCCTAAGGCACTTGACTGCTCACCAGAAGGCTGGCGGTTCAAACCCACCAGCCACTCCTCGGAAGGAAGGTTGGGCAATCCTACTTCTGTAGTGATACTGCCTCGGAAACCCAAGGAGGGGTCGCTATGAGTCGGGGCCGACTCGATGGCAAACAACAACAACAACAACAACAACATATGTCAGTACATATGTAGAAATATCCTCTGTCAAACCTATATATGTATTCATGGGTGTACAAATTTGCCTTCCTACACCTGTTCAGGCTAGTATGTCTATCAGTGTATCCACTTGTAGATTATTGTTATTACTGTCATTGCACAATTGTGTATGTAATAGCATTTACCTTTGTTGTCTTTAACTCTTTTGCTCCTAGGGAGCTCTGGTAGCATAGTGGCTAAAGGCACTTGACTGCTAACCAGAAGGCTGGTGGTTCAAATCCACCAGCAACTCCTCGGAAGGAAGATGGGGCAATCTACTTCCGTAGTGATACTGCCTCGGAAACCCAAGGAGGGGTCGCTATGAGTCGAGTCCGACTCGACGGCACATAACAACAACAACAACAAAGTGTCTTCCTTTACCTTGATCATTTTGTGCTGATATCTCCTTTACTGAATATTGCCTTTGCCTTCACCCAAGTGAATAAGTGTTTACCTTCTAGTGAGTGATTTTTCCTGCCTTCTGTTCCCACCCCTGGTAACCTTCACAGAATGCTTCTTTATGTGTGAAAACCTTTTCTTGACTTTTTATAATACAATATTTATCCTTTTGTGATTGACTATTTTCACTCAGCATAATGTCCTCTTAGGTTCATCCATGTTATGAGGTATTACACAGATTCATCATTATTTAACATTGCACGTATGAACCATAGTTTATTTACCCATTCATGGACACTTAAGGTGTTTCTGTCCTTTTGCTATTGTGAATGATGCTATGATGAACATGGGTGTGCATATATCTGTTCGTGTTATGGATCTTATTTCTCTAGGACATATTCCTAGTGTGGGATTGCTGGATCATATGATATTTCTATTTCCAATTTTTTAAGGAAGTGCCATACCATTTTCCACAGTGGATGCACCATTTTACTAATCCCATCAGCAGTGTATGAGGGTTCTAGTCTCTCCACACCTTCACCAGCATTTGTTGTTTTCTGTTCTGTTGGACTTTGCTTAAATTGCTGGAGTAAGATGATATCTCATTGTTGTTTTGATTTGCAGCTCTCTAATGGCTAATGATCATAACCATTTCTTCATGTGTTAGTTGGCTGCCTGAATGTCTTCTTTGGTGAGATGTCTGTTCATATTCTCTGTCCAGTTTTTAATTGGATTGCTTATCTTTTTGTTATTGAAGTGTCAAAGTTTTCTATAAAGTTTCAAGATTAGTCCCTTGTCTGATATGTCATTGCCCCCAATTTTTCCCATCTGTAGATTCCCTTTTACTTTTTTCATGGTATTTTAATGTGCATAAGTTCTGACAGCAGTAAATGTATAGCTATAGAAAATTACACTAAATGTAAATGGATTAAATGCAACAGGCAAGAGACAGAGTACATAATTGATAAGAAAACATAGCCCATCAATTTGCTGTCTAAAAGAGACAAACCTTAGACAAAAAGACAAAGATAAGCAAAAAATCAAAAGTTGGAAAAAACACATATCAAGCAAATGGCAACCAAAAAGAGCAGGAGTGGTGCATTTACTGCTGTCATTTTGCTGTGGTTTGTGTGTGTGTGTGTGTGTGTGTGGCGCTGATGGTTCTTTGTTCCATATTTTTTTATATACATATTTTTTTATGTTCCATATATTTTTATGTGCTGAATTAATTTTGTTTATGGATTTTCTTATCATTTCCTTCATTGCTGTTGCTTTAGTGTTTACTGAGTCTTTATGATTTTCTTCTTTTTACTTTGATGAGAAGATTTATTAATTTTCTTTGTGGTTACCCTGTAATTTATTATCTTCCCAAGTTTAAAGCACTTCATTCTATCTTTGTATGATCTTGACTTTCTCTCCATATGGAAGTTCTTCTGTAACTACACCATTTATTCCCTCTTTTTGCTCCGGTGGCACCTAAGGCATTTAACTGCAAACTAGAAGGCTGGCAGTTCAAACCCACTAGCCACTCATTGGAAGGAAGAGTGAGCAATCTGCTTCTGTACTGATACCACCTCAGAAACCCAAGGAGGGGTCACTATGATTTGGATCTGACTTGATGGAAGTGAGTTTGTTTGTGTTTGTGTGTGTGATCATTTACAAATTGACATCTCTGGTTCCCTAT